CATCCACGCCAAGAGGGTCACCATCATGCCCAAAGACATCCAGCTGGCCCGCCGCATCCGAGGGGAGAGGGCATAAGCGCAACCCGCTCACAACAACCCAACGGCTCTTTTAAGAGCCACCAAACCATCTTCAGAGCTCCCTTCCTCTATGACCATGTTGTTTAACTTCAGATTACTAAATGGTGCAAAGCAGGGGAAAAGTGAATACACATATAAATCAATAAACTACACAAACTAAAATCACCTCTAAAATAAAGTTTTACTTAAGTTAGTCTTACATAAAGAGAAAATGTTATTGAAATGCAAACCAGTCATGGTTGGATCCCATCAACAGGGCTGCCCCCCCCCCCACATCTGTTTTTCAAGTTAGAAGCTATTTACCATTTATCTGAATTAACTTCATTATTCTTTCCCTCTATATTGTAATGTCTGCATATAGTTTCCGAAATGTAACTCAAATGTGATTCTCACTGGTCATATATACATTTATTTTGGCTTACAGGCTTTATTTAGTACACACACAAAGTGTATTGAAAAGCATTAAATAGAAACGCACAGCAGCACAATACTTTTGTGCGACAGGCATATTTCTATGGACACTCCGACTCTGTGTATCGATGTTTATTACTTTGTTTTGACTTTTTTTTAATGAAAACATTGACTAAAGACGTATAAAGGATAAGATTATATTTTGTAGACACAAGTATATACAGAAAGAAATTATGTTAAGTATAGATCTTTAGACCATTTCATTTTTAAAGTGCAGTTAAGCAGCAGTGATAAAACCATTGTGATGAAAAAAATGATGTAAACAAATGAATGTAAAGTTACAGTTCCAACATTTTAGGTTTTTTTTTAAGTAAAATGAATAAACTAAAAGCATCCTGGATGAATTATAGGGCACGTAGTTTCGCGCTTAAACGTCAGATGTTTTGATTGGACGAAGGGGTTTGTTGTTGTATGCGACCAATCAGTGAGCTTTTGAGCTACGATAGGCTTATATAAACTCCCGATGCGTCGCTGTTCAGACACTTGTGAAGGAACTCCTGAACAGAAACAATGTCTGGACGTGGAAAGACCGGAGGCAAAGCCAGGGCTAAGGCCAAGACCCGCTCATCCAGAGCCGGGCTGCAGTTTCCCGTCGGCCGTGTTCACAGGCTGCTGAGGAAGGGCAACTACGCTGAACGCGTCGGCGCCGGAGCTCCAGTTTATCTGGCCGCAGTGCTCGAGTATCTCACTGCTGAGATCCTGGAGCTGGCTGGAAACGCTGCCCGTGACAACAAGAAAACCAGGATCATCCCCCGCCATCTGCAGCTGGCTGTCCGCAACGACGAGGAGCTCAACAAGCTGCTTGGTGGAGTCACCATCGCTCAGGGTGGAGTACTCCCCAACATCCAGGCTGTGCTGCTGCCCAAGAAAACCGAGAAGCCCGCAAAGAAGTAAAACTGCTGGACTTCACATCAAACACAACGGCTCTTTTAAGAGCCACCCACATCTTTCTCAAGAGCACATTTCTGTTAAAATATGACATATTTTACTCTCGTTCTGGGGATAAAAAAGGTTCCTAGACATAAGACTTGTTAACATAAATGTAACCAAATCTCAAGAACGCTATAGAGTATTTACTAAACCTGACCAGACACTAAATAATTCAAGCCCACCCGAGTAAACCCAAATCTTAGGAGTGTTCACTTTTAAGTATGTATATTTATTTGGTGGATCAAGGTGGAATGATTGCTTGACATGACTCCATCTAGTACGGAAAAAAGGGAAACCTGATCTATACATTCGCCCTAAACTGTGATTCAAATCTCTATAATTATATACCTAATAAAGAAAAGTAGCATCCCTACATAAAGCACCGACTTTATTACTAAACCTGACCAGACATCAAATAACTCAACCCCATATGACCCTAAAATGTTTTAAATGACTCAATGCGACAGATTTCTTTATAAATCTGATGGTTCTGAAATGATTAAAACCAAGGATGGTTTTAGCTTTCTCTCTGACCAAATGCATTTATAAGGATTTTGTGTATTTTTAGGCACCTACAATCATTTCGATTCAGTGGTAAAATAGACTAAACGCTGTTTGATCCTATATTATCTGGAATAAAATATGTAATTATGTGTTTATTTTGTGAGTTTCTCTTAAAGTGTATTTCCACTTGTTTTAAAAGCGGATGTGGTCACAGCCCTAAAGGCGGAAGAGAGGGTTAGCGGTCCCCTCTTACGTCCGTCAGATCTGTTTAAATAGGGAGGCTCTTAGCAGAGTTGAGTTTATTCTTTCTGTGAACTCAGCAGAAGCAACATGAGCGGACGAGGCAAGGGAGGCAAAGGACTGGGGAAAGGAGGCGCTAAGCGTCACCGCAAAGTCCTCCGTGATAACATCCAGGGAATCACTAAACCCGCCA